GTGCTCTGCCTGTGGAATACCTCACAGCTGTTTGTGTGTATGCCCTCCTGTCTTGTGCCTGTGCTGAGTGAGCTCCAGAGCCTCTGTGCCACAGCTTGTACGTGAGAGTGGAAACTTTTCCTTGCCCACAGTCCACACAGGGCGTGCTTTGCTCTGGCTCTGTGCTCCTGGTGTGTGGCTCCCAGGCTTGGCCTCCCTGCTGCCATTTCAGCCCTCTGCACTCCCTCTCACAAGCTCTGCTGGTCAGCTGCTCCGAAGGGTTTGTTTTCCTGGGGATGGGTCTCCTGTTTCTTGCTGGCACATTGGCTTGATCACTTGCCTTGAGGCTTCTTCCTGTTTGAGTGTTGCCAGTGGGAGCTGCATTGCCTCAGAGACTCCTCACCCAGTAAGTGCCACCTCCACAGATTCTCCTCTGGCAGCTGCTTTGCCAGGAAGCTGCTCTGTTGGCATCCAGGCTCTCTTTGGCTCTGGTGTTGATGGTGGACATGCCCTGCCCATTAATGTTGAGCTTAAACAGGGCCATTGCCAAGAACTTGGGTGCCTAAATTCTGTGTAGGTTCTGCTTTGTCTGTTCTTTTGAAGCTAGGCCTCAGTGCTTGAACTTGCATGAGGGACTTGTCTTTATAAACAAACCCTGGATCTGCTGGTAGATAAAACTAGCAGTGAGAGGTAAAAGAAACAGTGGGAAGGATTCCACTGATTGATGAATGGAATGAGAGAGGCTTGTCTTTACAGACAAACTGTAGGTCTGCTGAGAAATTGGATACTGGGAGATGAAAGAAACAGTGGGAAGAACGGTAAATTCCATATGAATTCCACTGATTGACACAAGGAAAACAAAAAGCGGGGGGGTTATACATTAGAAGGGAATCTTAGGTATTAGACATTTCGGGAAGTCTGTACCTCTGAAGTAACTCGGGCAGTGAGGAAGAGAGGCCGACGTGCATCCGGGAAATGGGGATAAAAAGGAGGCTGCATCCTCCAAAATTTTGAGAGACACCAGGTAAAATGCCCCATGGCCTCTCCCTTTATTCAGATAAAGTTACAGGACTCCTCTGTCTCCTTTTGGGACATAAACCTCTGGCGTTTGTGGATTAATTTTCCTGACAAACTGTACAGGATTTTAGGATTTATTAGTGCTAACATTTGAAAGAGTATAAGGAGTATAGCTTTTGTGGTTCCTAATTTTTTTTTTTCCTCAATTATTTAAAGTGTCTAATAAGCCTCAAGGGCATCAGAGATTAAGAGCTTCTTGGTGCCAGTGAGTTAAACTTTTAAAAATCTTTTTTAAAAGAGTTTTTAATACAAGCTCAGCGAAAGATTTTTTTTGCAGAAGATACTTGCTTTTATGTGTCTGTTTTTCACAGAGGTTTTATCACAGTGAATGTTAAAATGGAAAGTGAAGCAAAATGCTCTCCACAAGAACTCTGTTCAGAGTAATTCAAACACACAGTAAATTGCAGATACATTTATAATTCTTCTGAAAGGAAGCAGGTTTTTTTATGAATTGTTAAAAAAATTCTTCAAAATTATTTCTGTACTATTGTTAACCTTTCTGAATTTTACTCAGACATACGTTGTTAGGGGGTATATTTGTGTGTTAGGACATCCAGTAACAGGAATTGCTACTGTGGGTTTGGATATCTTATCAATGGCAGAATCATACTGTCATGTGGGCAGTAATGGAATAATGTGTCTACTGGAGCAATCATGTTCTCTTAATAAGCACTTGCTTTTTCTTAGTGACAAGCTCTTGTCTCTTCATTCTCTACAATGAAAAGTTACTGAACTTAGTGGAGTGCAGCAATATGAGCTCCATGTTTCTTCAGAGCAAAGACATTCCCTGCCCTGGGGGCAGAGGGGATGATGGAGTTGTGATGAGCCTGAGTGGAAGGGGCTGTTGTGAGCAGCACTGAGTGGCTGCAGGTGCTGTTGTGTCTGCCATCATTAAATAGGGGGTTGTGTCTGAACAATTCTTCTGCATCCTCCTCTGGCTTTCAGTAGAGATCACTCCTGAATTGTTAGGGCTGGTAAGGAAAGGTCAGATACACTGGTATGAGAGCTACTTTCTTGAACTGAAATCCCCATACTGTTTGAATGTTGTTTTGTGATATTTCTGCTTCATTACTTTTAGTTCATAGTTTCTCAGCTTATTATGCCTATAGGTTGGAGATACATATGTGTGTGTGTGTGTGTGTATATATGTGGGTCAGTGTCTTTTCCTGATTTTTCGCTTCTGATTTCACTTCCTTCTTGTGTATTCTAAAAATGTTTGTTTCTTAACTGGGTTTTTATGTCACGATTACCTAGATGTTTGGGTCAGACATGGGTAATTTAGTCTGGACGTGCCTGTGGCTCTTGTGCCACAGGTGGTGGCAGCTGCTGTGTCCTGCTGTCCCACAGCTGTGCTCTGTGTGTGGCAGGGAGCAGAGCCAAACCAGCCCTTCTTCTTACACCAGCCGTGCTTCCATTTAAAAAATGTGAGGAGAATAATGATACATTTTACCTCGAGGCAGATCAGGAATTGAACTGAAGTTGCCCACCTTGTCCATATTTATATTGCTGCTAATCAAGCCCCGGCCATCCATACAGCCTCAGGGCAGGCCAGCTGAGGCTGAGCAGCAATGCTGTGTGCTCTGTGCCAGAGCTCAGGAGTGGTCAGATGTGCCCTGTATTGCATGTAGGGCATACCTGAGCCCTGCTGGGAATGCAACTCCTGAAACTTGATGAACCTAGCTTCCCTCAAGGCTCCGAAGCCTTGTCATTCACCACCAGACTGAGTCCACAGCTTCTGGGAATGAGACCTGTTTGGATCTGAGCACATCAGCTGAAGTGCAGTGAGGGTGAGAGGAGGAGCCAGGATCCCTGAAAGCAGAGGGGCAGCTGGGACAGGGGGTGAGCTGGGCTGGGTGAGCCCTTAAGGAGAGGTAGCAGTGTGCAGCCTGCTATAGCCATGGGAAGGGACAGTTGTGGGAAAGGCACACAGTGGGTAGCTGGGACTTGGGCTGGTGTGTCTCTCTAGATTTCAAACTCTGCATGGTCACTTACTGGAACCTGAGCGTTGCAAATTCAAAACCAGAAAATGGGTGGAAAACCAGGAGTTTTTATTTATTGGTGGTGTGGTTCTGGGCCTTGCTGTTTGTCTCAGCTCTTAAATTTGGTTGCTGTGGAGCACTAATGCCTTGCTCTACCTCTGTATTGAGTAGTCTTCAACATCATTAAGGTTGGTCCATTGTGTGGATGTGGAGACTGTAACTGCTAATGTTTCTTTGTGCTATTTTATTGCCATTCTTACTCTTGGAGAGTGGAGGGACCTAGAGATGCCTCAAACATATTGATATCTCAACTTGCCCTTACTTGCACTTCATGGTTTCCCCATGAAGACTTTTAACACTTTCCTGGGTTGTCAGTGACACCCGAGGAGGTAAAAAGAGCAGACTGTTTGATTTGTCCTTTATGGTTTCACTTTCTTTCACACGTATATAACTTGCAAAGTTCTGTGTAGCTTCTCTCTGAAGAACAGACCCCAGACTTGATAGACTCGACTAACGGGGAGTTTGAAGAAATTCCTTATTAAAATCTTCTAGAACAGAATGGCTTTTGGTTATTTGATGGAAGGGGTTGAAATAACTGATGACTTGAAATCCTTGTTTTTTAAATCCCTTTTTTATTTCTGAACAAATAAAATCCACTTTTATTTATGCCTTTTTACAAAAAAAAAGTGGATTTGAATGCTATTAATTTACTGTCCTCTTCATACTTAAACATCTTAAGAAAACTGGTGTTCCAGAGAAGTTTGAAATTGAGGTATGTCAAAATGTAAACTAGAAGAATTTCCATGTGTGGGTGGGAAGTGTCACTTAGTTATTTTCTTATTCATAGCTGGGGCTTTTTTTTTTTAATGACTTTATTGAGTATTTTGTTTTTCAAAAAAGGATTTATTCCAGTAAAATTGGTATGCCTATATGGTATATTATGCTGGCATTTATGGAAGAAAATATGTAGTTTTCATGATTTTGTTGTTCACATTATCTGAGTAGTTGACTGAGTTGATTGAGCACTCCTACAGAGGATTCTCTTCCATTTTGTATGCAGTGTGTATAATTGAAAATCATTTTTTTAAATGTTAACTTTCAGTGAACATTTTGTTTTATGGGGAAATTAGATATGAATTGTTAAGGAGGAGGATCTTAAGTGTACTTAAAAGACAGAAGTAGTCTAGTGAATTCCCCAAATAGATTTACAGCTGAAAAATAAGCTGCAGTTACATGTACCTGATTATAGGTGCTCTTACAGACCTTGCAGAAATCTGGGATTTCTGCACATGACCTGGAGAAGGATAATGAGAGCTTTTTCTTTGAACAGTTCTGAGCTGAGCTGTGTCAGGATGGATCAGATCTGAGCTGGAGGCTTGCACTGCAGTGATGTAGTGTGAGGAGCAGCTCATGGCTCTGTGGGGATGATTCACTGTAAGAGTCAGTAATTTGTCTTTAGTGTAGCTGGTGGCACTGAAAATACATTGGGTTCCTGAAGGCTAAATTTTTTTCAAGAAACCTTCAATAAAGCAGCATTTGCTCTCCCCAAGATGAAATAAATCCTTGATTATGATATAAACAAGCATTAAAAATAATCAGGTACTTGTTAACTCAGCATCTACCTCGCTGTTTAGTTTACAAGAATTTTCCTCTATTTGCAGTTTATTGAAAATGGTTGTTACTACGTAAGATTTTTCTCCACCAGTTTCCTGTTTTTTAGAAGATGTTAGACTGGTCATTTTCTGAAATGTCAGGGTGCCATTTCTGGGAATGCCACTGAAGTCTGCTGTTCCAGATGCGTTTATTTAGGTTTTTTTTATCCTCTGGTATAAGGCATCTGATTTTTGTTGTCCAGATACATTTCTAAATTTCATTCTGTTTCAGGTTGAAAGTTACTTTTTGTTTATATAGCAGTTCTAATTAAAAAGATCAATCATAATTGGATTGTTCAGGGAACTCTTCATAGAATGTTGGTGTTGTAGACCCATCAAAAACCCAAACCAGCCTGGCTGGAGTTGACTCTGCTTTAAGCAGTGGGTTGGGTTGGATAATGTCCAGACATTGCTGCTGTCTTCAATCTGTGGAGTCTGATGCTGAACATTTGAGTAAATTCCAGTGTTTGTGCAGCATCTTGGATGACCCAGATGTCTCATTTTAATATACAGTAAATCCCGTTATTTACTAATGGAAGATTAAAAGATATTCAGGTAATGAAGCCAAGACAAGAAATTACTTAAAGGAGTAAAAAGAAAGCTTCTTTCATTTGACTCATCTCTGGTAACTTTCAGATTAGCAGTTTGTTAAATTCTGTTGCAATGAATTCTCTCTATAAAACAATAATTTGTAGAAGTCATTTGGGAAGTGGTTGATTAAAAACTCTCCCTAAAAATTTCTTCACATGACTATTGAGGTCTGGTGTGGGGCTGACCAAATGCTTTTGCTCTGGTTACTTGAATTCAGGATAGGGTATGCCAGCAGCCTGTGAGGTGCTGCACTTCTTAACTTACAGTACCAGCAGTGACTCTGACAGAGATGGAGATACCTGCACAGTTGTCAGCTGACTTTTGGACTCAATTTCTTGCCTAGCTTCTCATCATCTTTTTTTATGAAGGATGAACAATGGAGTTTTATGTGAAATAGCTTATGGTCACTTTTGATGAAATCAGTATTGTATCATATTGCAGAAAAATTGTAATTCTTGGTCTTAATTGTTCAGCCAGATCTTAAAACAGTGAGTTAAAGGAGATTGGGAACTTGAAGATCTAAATCTCAATTCCACATTTCCATCTTCTTTCTGAGAAGAAAACCAAAACAAGACTTAAAAAACAAAACCACTTCTTTGTCTTTGGTCACAAACAGCATTCATTGGCACTTCCTTCTTATTTTAACTTTCCTTTTAATGAATTCTTTTCCAGTTGTTGTTCCTGTCTGACATGCTACTCTTCTTTCCTTAATTAAGTAAAATAAAAAGGAAGATTATAATTTTGTATAATTGCATTTTTGACCAATGTGTATGATCAGAAGGCTGGCTAAGTAAATAATGAATCATCATCCTCCATCATATTAACAAAAAAGATGTGCTTCAGTCCTTTCAAGATCAGCTCTTCTCAAGAACTGCTTCTATGGTTGTGTTGCCAATTGGCACATTTTCTTTGAGTATGCAAAGAAAATAAATGTCTTGAGTCAGAGAGCTGCAGTGCTTAGTAGAATACATGAAATAAATAATTCTAATTGCTATACTTACTGGAAAATCCTTTCTATCTTATTCTAATTGTCTTTAACTATTGTTTCATTATCAGGATAAAAAACAAAGGAAATTTATACAAAGATGGAAAGAGATGATAAGTCAGCTACTTGACTAGGAGCTGTACTCAGGAATAATCTAGGATTATTTTTTCTATCAAGTAGTGATATTTCTAATTTTTTCTGATCCCTAATATTGTATGGGAGGATTTATCAGTCTGTAAAAGAAGTGGTAAAGGAATCTGTCCCTTCATTTTCTTGAATATATTTAGCTTTTTGCAGGAGAAATGAAGAATAATAATCTTTATTCAATGTAAATAAGAGAAAATAAGAAATATAATAATTACATACCTCCTGGCAGCAGTTAATGGAAAAAAAAATTGAGCCCAAGGTAAATCTCTTCTCTGGTAACTTGGTTAGTGCTTCTTTTGTGCTTAATACAGCAAAAGAACACTGTATTATTGCTGTGCCTTTACTGACTGTGCACCTGTACACACGGACAGTGCACACAGGAGAGAGCAGATGCACATAAGCCAGAACCATTTTGGTTTTACAGTGCTATTTCTAGTCTACTGCTTGCAGTAATAAGGAAGTGAAATAGGGGAAAACTTTGCTAAGTTCCTGTAAAAAGTGTGAACTGAAGGAGTCCAACCAAAGAGTAGGTGAAGGAAATGGGGAATGCTGTGTGAGTGCTCGTAGCTATATGCTGAGGGAGTATGGTCACAATGGCATCTGTGATGTGTCCTACAGTTGGCAAGGAAGTGGAGGTTTTATTGCTTAGCCAGAAAAACTTGTTTCTAATTTGAAAAACAAGAGTCCTAATAATCTTTTAAATTCTGTCCGCCACCTCCTGTGTTGAACTGTGCAGCTGTACGTTAAAGCAAGGCTTTGAAATGCAGTGCACTGGGATGTTATAGGTGATGCTGACAGATGCTGCCAGGGCTGGCAGCAGTTTTTATTTGTCCTCTCCTGAGCAGCTGGGGAACAGCTGACCAGATTGTTGAGATGAACAATTATCCTGGATCCCAACAGGAAAGCAGAGTGCTGTTCCATGTGAGTGAGCATGCAAAATCTGAGCAAAGCCTGGGTAGGGCTGCCAGCTCCTCAGGCTGTTTGGCTCCTCATTTATTGTGATCCTTGGAACACCTGCCTCTCTCAGCTGTAAGAAAGGCATTTTTGTAGAGCAAGACTGCTCAGTGACTGGTACCTCCAAGTTCTTCCCAGAAAGACTGGGAAGGAACAGCAGATCTGAAACTTTCAGAGTTTGGTCCCAAGGCTGTCTTACAGAGCTGGCAGGGCATATGCCTGTGTTGTGTCAGAAGATCTGTTGTGCTTTCTCTGTTTCCATGAAAGATTCTACTTTTGATAAATTGGCAAAATTTAATAGAAGAAAGTTTCCTCTGGAGAATCTCCAGCTATATTCCTGATTTCTGATGTTGTGCTTTAGTTCTTGCTCTGTTTTTCAGTTAATCTGTAACATTGTCGATGCCATTTTGAATGTCTGATAGAAATATAAGCAAATAGTAAGCCCTTTTTTTCTCATTCCATGTCTGGATGAAATGTGGTTGGCAGAGGTCAGATATCAAAATTTACTCGTTTGGCATTTATTCAGATGCAGGTCTAGTAAAGTACTATTACAGATCTATTACAACTATAGCTACTACAACTTAAGTAAAATAGGGAGGCTGAAAGAATGACCAGGAGGGAAAGGGTTTAGATTTTTGTTTTGACCACTAATTAAGGAAGGAAGTAAATTTTTTTTTTTGTCTCCTACCTTATTCTTGTAGTGAAGAGTTTGTATATATCTGTGATTCAGATGTGTGGGCGAGTGTGTAAATCTGGAATCATCCATTGCTGGCAAACAGCAGGAATATGACACTGTCCTCATATTCCCTGTGGCAGAGGGAGTAAATGAGATGGAGTAAATGAGCAGTGTCCTGGGATTGCTCTGTAACACAGTGCTCCTGTGGGACTCCTGGGAGCCACTGGTGGGGATGCAGTGCTGGGAATGCCCCTGTGGGGCCTGGCTGCTGCAGAGACAGATTTTTTTAGATGGTTTCTAGGCCAGAATGGCTCTTTGTTCCTTTGCCCAAATAACACATTCTGAGGCAAGAGTGATGCAGCAAGGCACAGTCTGATCAACAGTCTGATCAGCACCAAAGGCTTCTTTGCTCAGCTAGAAGAAAGAAGTAACCTGCAAATTTAATAGTGAAGAAAAAGGTGGAAATCTGAGCACTGGAAGTAATTTAGAAGGAAATAATAGGAGGAAAAGTAAAGACCTTTCTAGATGGGGGCAGGAAGTAAAAAATACTCTTGTCTTTTCTACCTGCTTCAGGCTTCCTGTGAATAGTTAGCTGGAAAAATTAATGCAGTCAATAAAGCAAAGTGAGTATGTGCCAGAAAGAGTTCACGAATATTTAAGAAAGGCTTTTGTGAACCTTGACCTTGATTGTCAAAATCTGTGAGGAATGAGTATTTCCAGCTGACAAAAAAAAGCCAAATTTATCTTAACAAATAAATTGCTTTATGTAGGGAATTTATAGATCAGTCCCTCTAACTTGGATAACTGTGAAGACGTTGCAGGAAATCCTTATATATTCATTTCCTAAAACTGCTCAGGATAAGAAAGTGGTGCTGAGCCACAAGCATCTATTTTGAAAGTATGTTTTGTCAAATACATGTAGTTGTTTGACAGACTAGCTGGCTGGGGATTAAAAGGGAAGTTGTAAACTGCTGTAATGTTGCACACAGCAATGCACACTGACAGGATGTTTTCATAGGCAAACTTGAGAAGCACAGTTGTTGTATAATGAGGAGAAATACAGGTCATGGAAAAACAGTGTTCTTAGAGAACTGGTATTTAATCCATTGCAGGTCAATTTGGGGTCGCTTTATGAAGTGTGATTCTGCAAGGACTGGCATGGGACCCATGTGTATGGTGTACTTCCATTAGTAATAAATGAAATAAAAGTAAATAAATGGCTTAGGGAATGAAGAGTGGAAATAATTGAGAATTTGAATGATGCTACCCTGGTGCAACTTCAAAGGATTTTATAGGTCAATAAAAACATTATTCCTCTTTTCTTCTTTTTTTTTTTTTTTTTTTTTTTTTTTTTTTTTTTTTTTTTTTTTTAGTTTGGGGAAATGGTCTGAAATCTGCAGATTGAAATGATAAGTACCAACAATTACTCTTGGGAAGAAGTTCACCGAGTTCACTGTATACGTAAAAATGCAGGGTTTGTGGTACTGCTCTACAGCTCCCAATGCCATAAGAAAATCAGAAATGAAATGATCTGTCAGTAGGGCTCAGTTCAGCAGAAAATTTTAGACATCACAGCTTAAGAGTAACAAGGACTGATAAAAGGAACAAAATGAAGCAAGGAATTTAGAACTTAAAAAATAGGAAGCAGCTGACTTAACTGAGTGTGTGTAATTTAGGAAGAGGTGGAGGAGAAGAGGAACACGCAGATATTTTCAGATAGTTTTTATAAGGTTTATGCTGTTAAGTTATTCTCTGTATCCATGCAGAGAAAGACAGATGACATTGGCAAAATGCAAAATTTGTGCAGTATTGAGTGAAAAACCCCACCCATTTAGATGCTGGAGCAGTTCCCTTGGGAGGCCATGGAGAGCTGCTCTTGCACACAGTGGGACTGGTTGGGCTGCCTGGGAGCTCTAGGAGCACCTGGGCTGCCTCGGAGTGTTCCCAATGCAAAGTGACCATGAGCTCGCCTTGAGCCCCACTGATTATTGGTTTACAGTTTTATAAAAGCAATATTCCCAGTCTTCAGACTGCGTTTTCGTACTACAAATTGTTTTTTTTCCCACAGATTAGTGTAGGTTTGTAATAGTGAATGCTTTTTCTATGCAAGTTCAAAACTTGAGTGAAATTTTGTGGGGCTTTTAGATTTCCAGGCCATATACAGATAATAATTGTCCTTTCTACAGTTTTGTGTTCTAGCATCTGGGGAAGGCAGGTCAATAAAAGAAGCTATTAATAGTTGTAGGCATACTAGGAGTTTATTTTCTTATGAGCTATTTGCATGAAGATAGTACATTTAACAGTGATTCAGCTTATCATATCAGCAGGATTTTTTGTATCCTGACAAATTTATAACTATATTGGAAAGATTTATCTAAATTTAATATTTCAGGACCTACCTAATCATTTTGCATCCTATATTCTGCTCATAAACTGGAACTTAAGTACAGGAAATAGAATATAGGAATTTTGCTCGACCAGATTAAAACTTTAGAAACCAAATTGCATTTGTGTAATGTAATATGTGAGCTGTTCTCTCATACTGACATGTTTTTCTGAGGAGAGTGGGAATGCATTATTAAAAAAACCACAACCAGAATTTGTACTGGTGCTTCAGGTACAAAAGAATGGATTTATTCTGGAATAGACAGGTAGTCTCTTTGCCTGATCTAGATGAAGCAGCTTTTTCTCCTCCCTACAATTGAGTTTGGTGATTATAAAGAAGGAATGATTTCATTATGCGTTGAACTGACTTTTTTGCAATAAACTTGAGAATCTAAAAGTATACTATCAAATGTCACTGTTTTATGTGATGTATTTCACAGTTTAAAACACAATTTTTTTCCAGAGTTGAAATTAGAATTGTTGACATTAAGGAAATGAAAATGATTGATGGAGTGGTTTTACTTGACCAGCTGCTAATGATTTCTCACTCAATATCGTGTTAGCTTGTGCTGAAGCCATGCATATGGCAACCTAGAAAATAGCCTGAAGTTCCTGAAACTCCAAAGAAGAAAAATATAAATTATTCTGGTGCTTTTGATTGACGAACTGTGATATAAAATGTGACTTTTGATGTTCTGGGATGGTGTGATCGATAGCATAATTTTTCTTATTAAATTGTTTACTCTTCACTGAATGTTACAGTGCATTATATTTTGGCTCAGAGGCAGTGAGAAAGGTCACTTAATTTCCTTGTTGGCCACTGCAGCCCTTGCTCAGGTGGAGCTGTTTGGGAGGAAGGGAGAGGACATTTTCATTGGGAACAGCTGAAAATGCTCATCTGAGTGAAACTTCGGAGCTTCCTAAACTGGGGACTGCTCTCTCCTGGAGGAGACTGTGGAGAAAGAGGGGAATGTTTCTGTGGCTGCTGAGGGAGTTTTATAAAGTTATGGTATCTCAAAAGCCTTGCTGAGAATTCTCAGCCTGAGAACAGGTTTGTAGGCAAGGAAGGAAGGAGAATTCTTCTAATTGAGTGCTCATTGAGTATAGGGAATATCTCAAAAAGCTGCAGGTGAGCATTTAACTATGGAGCAGCCAGTGTGTTGTGGCTATTGCCTCTGTCCAGCTGTGCTGCAAAAAGTTCTCACTCTTATCTCCAGTGCTGACTCCCCATTATCTCCTGTACAAGTGCAAAAAACCTAATACTTGAAAATACAAATCCTCTAAAGCCAGTGGAGGAGCTGCAACTGGCTTTAATGGAGCCAGAGCATCACCTAGATTGAAGGAGTTCAGATCAGCTCTCGAGACTTTTAGGACTTTTTTAAATAGTGTGGTCTGTACTGAATATTTTATGATGTTCTTTTTTGATTTTACCTATATTGCCTGATACTCTGGTTTATTGTAGTATCTTACAAACTTCATTTAAACAATATGCTCGCTATTTTTGTTAAAATACTGTCCTGGTTATATCTCCCCTTTTCTTCTTTCTTTGAATGGTGCTGGAGTTATGATGTTTCTGCTGACACTTATGATGTAAAATGGAAGAATTTCTGCAAAG